ACCGCGGATGGCTAAGCCTCTCTATTAGTCTGTTAAAATTATTTAAAGGACGTATCTTGGGTTATGACTAGTAGTTGGACTTGTCAAATTTGTAACATGAATAATTCGAGTTTAATCACGATTCGAATCGTGAGATTCGCGAGTCAAAATAATCACGCGATTGTTAACGTTAAGTATATTAAATATATTTTGATCCTTTTAAATCGTAATTTGAATATATGTGTGCCATAATGAAAAACTAGATTTCAGAATATCAAGTTTGTTATTTATCAGAATCAGTCTTTGAAAAATTCAATCACTGAAACGATTAGAAACCATCAGGAACTGATACCTATATCTGCTTTTATAAATCGCAATTTAAATTTTTGGTAATTCGAATAAAATTGACTTATCAAATTATTCGATTATTCTTCTGAGCTTAATTCGTGATTTTGAGGCGAATCCAGTCACAATATGTTTAATGAAGATGGAATTCATTTAGGTGGATTCTGGAATTTTGAATTAAGAAATAACTTTCGTAAAAATTGAATTTAAATATAAATTAAGTAGATACGGAACATCCATGGATTCGAAATCAACTTAATTTGATTCCCGGATCTTAAAAATCCATGTAACAGTAAAATTTTTATCTTTTTATAACAAAACAATTTAAAGCAATCATATTTTATTTTTTACCTAAAATATTAATATTCTTTTATTTAAAGACAGGTTTTTAATGAGTTGATCAATAAATGCCTAAGAAAAATCTTTATTTCACCAACCGACCGATTTTATTATCACAATACGGTATATCGTTTACGATGCAAAGCAGAATTCTTGATACTATCTACAACGTAAACGAACCCATGTTATTAGGATTTGTTGAATATCAAAAACTTAATGTGCGTGGAACTGAAGAATGCGATCTACATACACCGCTAACTGGTATTATATTCAATTGTAAAGATGAAATAAAAATAATTCTACAAAATGTAAACGTTCTAGTTTAATATGGATTGGGTGTCATCTTTTAAATATGTATATACAAACGAAGGTTTACCGACAATTACCCTAAAAACATTTCTCCGACAACTATTTTCTCGAAAAATATTTCCCCGCCATAACCATTTTCCCGATAGCCATTTCCTCGACAACCATTTCCCCGACATGACCATCATGACCATTTCCCAACATGACGTGATTGTTGGGGAAATGGGGAAGTGATTGTCGGTGAAATGGTTTTTCGGGAAAATGGTTATGGGGTAATTATCGGTAAACCACAAAAGAAATCAAATTATAATTAAAATTTAATAGTAGGCAATATAAATAAAACATTCCAAAGTAAGTTTTCTACAGCATTTTTAAGGAGTTTATTTCTTTTTTTAAATTAGATACTGAACAATGTAGACGACAGACATTTCCACATACCAAATTGAAACATCTACATTAATAATTGTATTTTATGTTTAGTTGATATTAGTGACACAATTTCATACCCTTCGAAGGTATTCCATTTCTACATAGTATTGATCTATCGGGATTTTCAAAGGCCTTTTCAATTTAAGTTTCGAGTGCATTTATTTAAATGTTCTTTTTATTATCAACTATGATTTAAATTACGTATAGCGACTATTATGTATATAAATGAACTTAAATTTTATTTCATGAAATGCGAGTCTCCAGACACATGATTCTCTTATTTGACCGTTCGTAATCACAAATTCGATTTTTAAGTTCCCACTTGTTTCCGAATCATTTAATTTTGAACCACCAATATAATCTATAAAAAGATTATTGCATCTAACAAATAATTTAATTCAAAAATTTATTTAAATTATGATAAATTTGCCTTTACCGGTAATGTAAAATATATTTTCTTTTGAGGATGAAATATTGAACTAAGAATCTTTGCAAAATATGATTACCAAATAGGTTGTTTTAAGATCCGAAACCAATTTAAGTTGATTCTGGATTTGAAATCAACTTAAATAGATTCCGAATTTATAGAATTCCAAATCTACCCGCAACATATACAAAAAAACGCCTTTTATGATGACCAAAAGCTCACGCATAAGTATCATTTAAAAAATTGATCAACCGATTTTGAAAAAAAAAATTGAGCGGCAAAGTCGAAAATTAACTTTAGCCGATTTTTTCATTATTGATCATGATCATTAATCACTTACAAGAAAAGAATTTTCATCCCGTTGATCAATTTCATCAAAATTTTTTTGCAAATCAACAGGGTGTAGCGACACTCTTGAGAATATGAGTTTTTTTGTCGACTGACAAGTGTATTTTAAGCATTGTTGTCTTGAGTTTGATTTGTCTTTTTGTTTTTAAGTTTTGTAAGAAGTGAAACGTTTGCATACATTAAATAGCAATAAATGATAATAAAATAATAATACCTGGCTCTTGACAAAACACGAGATCAGTTCCAATCGATTCATCGTACTCTCCCTTAAAATACATATTACCGATACGCATTCGTGGACTATCTGTTTCTAATCCCTGATTTAATAATTGAAAAGAATAAGACTTTCTACTAGTTCTCCAATTAAAAATCTTTTTATTAAATTCGTGTAATTAAATAAAATAGCTCACAATCAAAGAATATGTGATGTCTTCTTTTATTTTTTCATTTTCTCCATCACCTCCACTTCCACTAACATCAGTATCTTGATTATCATTGTCATCATTAATATGCTATCATCGATCGAGAACATTTAATGAAAAATGATATTTACTCGGATTGATGTTTTTTATTATTCTATTGTTGTCCGTTAACATATCAAGTGTAACTTCAGTCCCTAGGTCAAGTATTATATATGATGTCTTTAAGTATAAATATAAATGAAATATAAATGTACAAAGTTATGGAGTTTGATAACGAACTCAAAAAGTGCGTCAAATCGAGTAAATTCGAAATACCTCTATCTCATATTCGCTTTCACTTTCACTTTCTTTTCCGTTATTATCGGACCTATATTTGTTGTCGAATGTCTCAACACTTGTTTGTGAAGAAATATGTTCCATGAGAGTATTGCAGTATTGGTTACTGTGCTAAGCTCAAAGTTAAAACGTTAAAACTTGATCTTCCAATCACGTGAGTAAACAGTAACTGAAGCTAGGGTTGCGGCCCAAACCTACTAGTTTGGGATTTGATAGTATTTACTAGGTTTCGCAAAATGCCTCTAATTTGCCGTAATGTCAAACATTCTGACATATAAATTATATTACGGCTAGAAATGCCGAATTTTTTACATGTAAAATCGTGTTTGGGACTCATCCAAGATCACGAAATTTTGACATCAAAACGCGATTTATCCATAAGTCATCTTTCTTCGTATAGCTAACACTTCGTATACTCCATTTTTAAAACACATTATATACTCTGGATATATCGACTATTTTTTTTCATTAGCAAAAAAATTTAAATGTGATATATTGAGTTATATCGACATTTTACAGTATATTAAAATTTTGAAAATTTTTTGATATTTTACTATATTCAGATGTCAGTATAACCAGAGTAACATATTAATTTT